CCGGTGAGGGAGGGCCAGCATCCTCCTGCAGGAGCTGATACACATGGGGAGCCAGCTTGAAAGCTGTTTTCCCGCATGTTCCAGCTCCCACCTGCCCCCCGCGCTGCTGCCTCTATTACAGAGGCAGCAAGAGGGGAGGGGGTTGCAGATAGTAGTAGTCAAGTAGTTGACTTGACTACTTGCTTACATCTTAGTTAAAGGTGAGTTTTGAGCATGTTACTTTGAATTTATTTCAATATGTGATAGTACCGGTAACTTTTTTTCCATGTACAGCCAAGTTGTTACTGATATTCAAGAAACTGGCTGTTAGAAATCTGGTTTTTGAAGAGTCCTCTATATTATTAGAAATCTGGTTTTTGAAGAGTCCTCTATATTATTAGAAATCTGGTTTTTGAAGAGTCCTCTATATTATTAGAAATCTGGTTTTTGAAGAGTCCTCTATATTATTAGAAATCTGGTTTTTGAAGAGTCCTCTATTTTATTATGCTGCAGAAACTTGCACGGAGTAGGTAGTTTGAATTAGGCTCTCTAATTCGAACTACTGTTACTCCTCGTGGAACAAGGTGTACCGGTAGTTCGAATTAGAGAGCCTAATTCGAACTACCTACTCCGTGCCGCGTGTAGCCGCGAGCATGGAGTCCGCACTAAGGGGGATTTAAAAATGGCGGCGCCCGGCAAGATGCAAATGAAGCCCGGGATATTTAAATCCCGGGCTTCATTTGCAACTCCGGTTGCCTACATTAGCCACCCTAGTTCGAACTAGGGTGGCAGTGTAGACATACCCTTACATGGCTACACGTTAACATCCCTGGTGTCCCCCCTCCTCCCTGCAGGTCACCAGGAGAACAACAACTTTTGCTCCGTGAACATCAACATTGGGCCGGGTGACTGCGAATGGTTTGCAGTGCACGAGCATTACTGGGAGACCATCAGCGCCTTCTGTGACAGGTCAGGAACGGGGCCGTGGGGTGGGGCCAGGGTTGTGGGGGTGGAGCTGGTGCCATGTGGGCGGGACATTACTGGGAGACCATCACCATCTTCTACACAGGTCAGGGGCGGGGACAGAACCATGGGAGTGGGGCTATGGGACTGTACTGGTGGTTCCCCACCCCCTGTCAGGCATGGCGTGGACTACCTGACAGGCTCCTGGTGGCCCATCCTGGAGGACCTGTACAAGTCCAACATTCCCGTGTACCGCTTCATCCAGCGCCCTGGGGACCTTGTGTGGATCAACGCAGGCACCGTGCACTGGGTGCAGGCCACAGGCTGGTGCAACAACATCGCTTGGAACGTTGGGCCGCTCACAGGTGTGGAGAGCCAGAGGGCTGGGATGTGGGGACCAGGGGCTGAGACACAGGGAGTCGAGGGGCTGAGGCATGAGGAGCCAGGGGCTGGGGTGCAGGGAATCACAGTCGGGAGAACCGGGGGCTGCGGCACAGGGAGCCAGGGTTTGAGGGACTGGGAAGCTGGGGGGGTAAGGAGACAGAGGCAGGAAGCGGAGAGGCAGGCGGGGGGAGCCGGGGGGAGGCAGCCCTGGGGGAGGCTGGGACATGGGGAGCCAAGGGCGTGGGAAGCCAGGAGGGAGAGCTGAGGGCATGGGGAGCCAAGGGGGCTGTGGCATGGGGAGCCAGGCAGGGGGATGGGACATCTGATCCCTCAATGGTTAAGACATTGATGGCCATGGGGCCTGGGAATGAGGGCGGCAGAGGGGGCTGAGGCTCCCCTGGAGTGGCTGTGGGGTAGGGAGGCTGGAGCCCCCACTCCCCACCCAGGCCAGGACCCTCAGCAGGACCCCAGCACATTTTGCCACCCCAAGTGCTCCCTTCCAGAAACTTTTTCTCTGTGCTTGGTGCCACCACGTGGCAGGAATGGATACTGCTGGCTCCAGAGGGTGCTAGGGAGCAGGGAATGGGGCACAGGGACTGTCCCTTCCAGGGCCGTGTCTGTGTTGGGGGTGGAGGGTTGCCTGCCACTGTTTCACTCTCCCCACTTTCTGCAGCCTATCAGTACCAGCTAGCCCTAGAGCGCTACGAGTGGAACGAAGTGAAGAACGTAAAGTCCATCGTGCCCATGATCCACGTCTCATGGAACGTCGCCCGGACGGTGAAGATCAGTGACCCCGACCTCTACAAGATGATCAAGTGAGTGTCACCCCAAGACTCCACCCCCGGCCCTGACCCTGTCCTGTGGTCTGCCACCCTCCAGCCAGGACATCTCAAGCCAGCGGCACCCTCCCACTCCGGCCACACTAGACAGCTAGTGGGGTTGGCCAGGCTTCCCTAGCAATAGAAGTGGGAGTTACCACCCCATTGAGATGCACCAAGCAGCTTCCCCTCCCTCCCCCTGCTCAGGGCAATAGGCTCGGGCTCTCTGCAGTCCCAGGCAGCGTCTACTATTGTGGATCCTCCTGCTCTGAGTGCTTGTCCCTGTCTCTCCCTCCTTTGCCCCATTCGCTCACTTCCTGTGTCTCTCCCTCCAGGTACTGCCTCATGCAGTCCATCAAGCACTGCCAGGTGCTGCGGGCAAGCCTGGTGCGTTCAGGGAAGAAGATCGCCTACCAGGGCCGGGTGAAGGACGAGCCGGCGTACTACTGTAACGAGTGTGATGTGAGTGTTGGGGCTCTGGGCACTGCAGCTGCTAGCTACAGCCATGCTAGCCCCCGCAACAGCCCTGATCCTTCTCAGGCCGGAGCTGCTGCCCTGTGGTGGGGTAGGAGCTCCGTGTTGGGGCTGTCCCTGAAGCCTCAACAGGGCCCTCGGGGCTGTTGTGCTGCTGCATTTCCCATTCTTTGGCTGAGACAGCCAACCCCGGCCTCAGGGGCTGGTGACCCGGCCTGACTTGTACCCAAAGGTGTCCCTGCCGCTTCTAAAACGTCAACCTGCAGCTTCAGTCAGAGACAGGATCCTCCGTCCCTGAACTGTTGCACAGAGTTGCCGTCTGGCTGCGCCTCCCCCAGAGGTGGCTGCAGCTTAGACCCAACTGAATCTTTGCTTCACAGTCTCCCCACTTGGATTCCGTTTGGACAGGGCTCATGGTTAATAAAAGACACGGTTAATAAAAAACACCTTTCTGGGCAGTAGGGAGAGGCAGCGTCCCACTTTGAACTCTGTGCATGAGATTTGCTTTACTCTGTCAAATCCCTCCTGTCCCACATCCAGTTTGGGATTTCGTTGTGGCTTCTCCCTCGACCGCACTAAGAGATGGGTCCGTAACAGGCTAAAAGCCAGCAACAGTGAGTATGAAACGCGGTTTGTTTAAAAGAGAAAAAAGGTCAGCTTGCAATTTTTGGACACTGGACAAGTGGCTGGAAACTGGTCACCTTTGAAAATGGAAGAGACGGATCAAAATCTTAGGAGAAGACAGAGCATCAGTTCAACTGGATGAGAAGACATCGTGGTGTAAATGAACGAATGGCATGAAGAGAGGGACTTGAAAAAATGGGGCAAAACTGGACCAACGACTTAGCTAAAGATGGTGAAAAGAGTATTAGTGTGTCGGTGAAATGGGAAGAAGATGAATTAGTGGTCTCTGGAAATGAGGAGAAAATGGTTTAGCAACTTGTGTTAAGGGGGAAAAGATGGACTAGAGATTAGTCGCTCATCTGACGGGAGAAAACGGATTATATTTGGCTAGATAAGGTGTAAAAGAATTCGCAGCTGCACTAAGAGTGGTGTAAATGGATAACAGCTCAGCCTAACAGCACAGACAGATTAGAGACTTGAAGAAATACAGCCTTGACTGACTAGCTATTTGGCTAAAGCAGGCACATGTGAATTAGAGACTGCGCTAAACCAGACAGAGAGATCAGCAACTCATCAAAATGGTGGGATTAGCAGTGTAGCTAAATGGACGAAAACGGATTAGTCCTTCGGCTAAACGGGACAAACATGGATTAGCAAAGCATCTATACGCATCGTGGATGGAGCAGCGAATTCATGTGGCGTAAATGGATTGGTGACTTGGCTACAGGGCTCTGGCAGATTACCTAGTGATTACTGATCTGGCTAAATGGGGTTTAAATGGATCAGTGACTCACAGAATGGGGAACAGTTAACGACTCAGCAAAACATGGCAGAAATGGATTATCCTCTCTGGAAATCGCGCTGCAGATGGGTTAGTGGTTTGGCTAGGCACAGCAGAAATGGATTAGCTGCTCCACTATACAGGGAGAAGACAAGTTAGCAATTTGGCTTCACATGGCACATGCCATTCAACAAACCACTGTGCACATTGGTTAGTGATTTGGCAGCACATGGCAAAAGTGGGTTAGCTGGTCTGCAAGCTGCCGTGTGCACAGGTTAGCAGTTTGGCAACACATGCCAAAAATGGATTAGCCCCTCGGCTGTGCAGGGAGGAAATGGAGGAGCCACTAACCATAGCACAGAAGAACTGGAAGCTAGTGAAGAGGCATCACCCAAGAGAGCCAAGAGGATCTGGGGCTCAGTGCCCAGAGAAGGAAATGGTCTTAAAGCAACCTAACAAGCACTGTGGGCACATTGGCCACTCCACAGTATTGGTGAGAAGAGGCAGTGGCTGGCCCTTGACTTGTAGCCTGGCTTATGTGACTTGGCTCATCCTGCTGGGAACCACAGAGAGACCCTCCAGGACAGGTGACATTTGCGGCAGCCAAGCCTCAGCATCAAGGGAGAAACTCGGGCTCCGAAGACCTGATCCAGGCGAATAATGGACCGATGTGCGAAACGTCTGGGCTGTCGCTGTGCGACCCCAGTCTCATGTCTGATAAAGCAGCAGGCTGGGAGCCAGGACTCCTGGGTTCTCTTCTCTGGCTGTGGGAGGGCAAGTGGGGGCTGATGGGACAGAGCAGAAGGGGGAAGGACTGGGAGCCAGGGCTCCTGGATTCTCTCCCCGGCTCTGGGAGGGGAGCGAGGCCTCGGTCTGTGGCTGTAACCGCGGTGGCTGTGAAAGCACCTTTCCAACAAGAATAAATAAAACTTTCTCCCCTGATGCTGTGCCTGATGCTTCTTTCCTTGACACCCCAATCACTGCGGTGATCCTGATCCACCCAGCCTGGGCCCTGGCTCCTGTGCTGAGGTCTGGGAGGTGGGGGCGCTGCACTCTGGAGAGACGGGGGTTAGTGGACTGGATCTAGCACAATCATTAACGCAGCAAAAGTTGGGAGGGTTGGGCAGACAGAACTCCTGAGTTCTCTCCCTGGCTCTGGGAGAAATGTAAAAAACAACAAATAGTCTGGTAGCACTTTAAAGACTAACAAAACATGGAGATGGAATCATGAGCTTTTGTGGGCACAGCTCAGGAGCAGAGGTGGGCGGCGCAGGGAGCCAGGACACCTGGATGCCATTTTTTTGCTCTACCCTGCCCCCAGTTTCCCTTAGGATGGATGCCTAGTGCCACGCCTCTCCCCTCCCCCGTCCATCAGGGGCGGTGCAGCCAGCAGGGGGAGCTCCTGCCTGCCTGTCCTGCCCCTGCAGGTGGAGGTGTTCAATATCCTGTTTGTGACGAGCGAGAACGGCAGCAAGAATACGTACCTGGTGCACTGTGAGGACTGCGCCCGCCAGCGCAGCGTCGCCCTGCACGGCGTGGTCGTACTGGAGCAGTACAAGACGGAGGAGCTGATGCAGATCTACGACAACTTCACCCTGGTGAGAGGCGGGGGCTCAGCAGGAGTCGCTTTTCCCTGACAGGCAGGGCTGGCCCCAGGGCTGGTGCTAGGGGGCGCTGTAGGGCAGGAAGTGAGGTGGGGGCTGAGCAGGGGGTGGTCTTCTGTGGCAGGCAGGGTTGGCCCCACAGTGCAGCTTGGGGGTGGCACTAGGAGGTGCTGTGGGGTGGGGGCTCAGCAGAGGGCATGCTGCCCTGGCTAGCTGTGCTGTGTTGCAGGGAGTAGCCCCTGGTGGTGAAAGGGATATTGCAGCACCTTTCTGCAGAATGTATTTTTGCAGGGGGACAGGGACAAATTCTGCAGGTGTGCAGTGGTGCAGATTTCCCTCCAGAGTAAGCATAGAGGGAAGGTATGAGAAGTCTGGCTCCATCCCACAGGATTCCTGGGTTCCATTAACCCTTTCTTTCCTTCTGCCACAGGCTGGATCCCCCAGCTCCAGATGAGCCAGTGCTGGCCCAGGCAGTTCCTGGGCAGAGACAGGAATAAGCTCCCCCTTCTCCTGCACCCACCTGCTCCGCTGGGGGAAGAAGGGGACATCTTGGCACCGCCCGTCCCAGTGGCCAATTGCAGACAAGCTCTTGTTTACACCGGAACCACTCCGGCCCAATCAGCTTTGCTGTTGAAACAAGGGGGAGGGGGCAGGGCCCCAGAAGCAGCCAATCGTCTGTACGACCCAAGGAGCCAATCCGCAAGCAGCCTGTGAATACAGAAACTCAAATGAACTTTTTAATTTATTCTTGAAAATGACCTGGGGGGGGACAGGGAAACTTTAATTTTATTTTATTTTTTTATTTTTTATTTTTTTTGGAAAATAATACAAACCACAAAAAAGTCAACATCCATGAGATGGGAAACGGAGAACCATGGATTCTGAGCAGCTCAGTGGGGCTGGCAGATCCCTCCGGGTGATTCCCTGGCGCACACGTGCCGCAGCTGGCCTTCAACCAGGGACAGGAGATCGGCCGTATGCAGGAAAACGCGGACTCTGGAGCTCAGCCACAATCTCTCTTTGGCGACAGAGCATTAACTCTTTTGTTTTGCAGAAGCGGGGTGGGAGGGAGGGAGTGGGAGAAACAGGCAGCAGTGGGAAACAGGGATTGGGGTTATTTTTTTGTCGTCTTTTTACATTTTTCTTGTCAGCAAATTAAGCAAAAAAACAAACAAAAAACCAACAAAAATACGGGTTTTTTACACAGGAATTTCCCTTTGTTTCCTCTGTGTGCGTTTGTGGCGGTGGGAGATTGTACATTGGTTTATATATATATTGTCGCGGGGCGGGCGGTTTGTGTGCGCGTGTGTGGTTTGATTCTTGCTATTCTTTGCTTTCTTCAATCCTGGCTGGTTTGGTTTTGGGGGTCTTTTGATTCAATGTATTCCTGGCTCATTTTTCTTCTGAACTCATGTGAAGGAGCCAATTCCCGCCGGCTTGTGCCTGCGATTGTGCAAACGATGGTGCAAAGGGGGAGCGAGGAACCGTGCTCAGATTCCAGCCCCATGTGCAGGGCTTTGCGGGAACCCTGCCTCCGGGAGCTGCTTTCCCCTGGGTTAAGCGTTTTGCACGATCAAGGCTGTGTTTTACACTTCCTCTCAGGTCATCCACAGAAGCTGAGCCAGGACAGCAGGACAGATATCTGCCTTAACTCCCCCTCCCCTCCGCCTGCCAGGCTTCGCCTTTCCACTTCTCCCTTGTTTTTAAACCAGAAACATGTCAGGTGCTTTTTAATTTTTTTTTTTTTACCTCCAGGCCTCAGAATTTTGCAATTTGTAAATTGTCCTCTGTTGTTGTTTTCTTTTTTTTATTTATATGTCATTTTTATAATGATTTTTCTATTTATTGGTCGCTCTTGGGGGTTGATTTTAGCATTTGGGGGTTGTTTTTTTTTAATGTTTGTTATTTTTTAATCGTATTTGTCTGTTTCTCGCCGGAATTTTTTCATTGGTTTTGTTTTTTTGGGTTTTCATTGTCAGTCTTGGCCCATTCTCGGCATTGTAAGATGGGGTCTTTTTGTTGGTCTTTCACCTCTTTTCATGGTGCTGAATTCCACGGCTCACTGTGCGATCGGGACTTCATTTCCTTTTGAGGAATCTTCTCCCTTTCCCTCAACCTTTGTAGAAAATACCCCCTCCCCGTCCTATCACAGCATCTCACCTGCACTTTTTCCAATTCACCAACACACTGAAACGAAACAAGCGGAAGTCTGGGTCCTCCTGGATTATACTGTACTGTAAGGCGACAAAGGAAAAAAATGTTATTTTGTAAATGTAAAAAAGATTAAATTAACTCACAGAGATACAGAAAAGGCCTCCTTGCTTTTTGTTCCGTAAGACAGTGGTGCGCAACCCGTGGGTCACGCCCCCAAAGGGGGTCATGGATGTCTTCCTGGGGGGTCACTGCGCCATGTGGCTGACGACAGCCAGGCCCCGCCGTGGGGGTCATGGTTGAAAAAAGGTTGCGCACCACTGCCATAAGAGACAGGGAAGCGATGGCAGGTTTCATTATTGGCACACCAAGTCCCAGGTGATAAGCCCTTGGACTGATCCGGGTTGTGATGGGGGTGAGAGGTGATTCATCATCTGGTGGCTTCAAATCAAACACTTGGCCAAACCTGAGTCATGGGCTTGATGCAGAGGGAGCTGGGACAGACCCAGTGGCCTGTGGTGGGCAGTGGCTCAGGTGCTGGGAGCTGATCCGCTGCTGCAGACAAAACTCCCGAAGAAGCTAATCAGTGTCTGTGGCATTGCTGAGAGCAGTGCTGGGCAGCAGAAAGGGTCCCAGATCTCTGTGGAGCGAGGAGGTGGGGAGGGGCAACAAACACAGGGTGAGGATATGGTGGGTGGTCAGAGGGGACTGTCAACTCCGATCTTCTGACCTGAAACTACCCTGGGATTATGGAAGCAGTAACTGCTCCCATCCCACCATTGCCAGAGGCAGAGCCCCCCGCCCAAGCTGCTTTCCTGCGCAGATCCTTTTTCCTGAGCACAGTCATTTTTAGTATGGCAGGGGCTGGGAGTGAGGGGCACCGGCAGAGCTGGGGGAGCCCAGGGCTGGAGGCGGGGGACGGGAAGGAGGGAGGCAGATAAATTCAAGGCATCTTTGGAATCTGAGCAGGACAAATTCCTGCTCTCCTCCCACCCCCCTTTGCGG